AATACTTTTGATAAATTCTCATCTCCTTTACCATAATCTTAAAAATTGAGATAAGTTTGTATATAATAAATGTTTAAATAAGATCTTTAAGAAGCACAATTGAATTAATGTACCAAAATGAAGTTTTTGTCTAAATTTGTATGGCATCTCAGAATTTCATTAAAATTATCTTAAGCTGACTTAAGAGGAGCATAATAAATTACTTTGCTTATTAAACAGAATCTGAAGGTTTCAGAATGTAGACATCAATTGTATCCATGTGAAAAACTAGTTTTGGTATCTACCATTTTAACTTTCATGCAGTTTCATGAAACAAATCATAGAACCTGGTATGACCCAAGAGCAGGATTAAGTGACCCAAGAAACAGAAAAATGAATAAAAAAGTAAAGGTGCAAAAAGTTCCTTTTATTAATTAAAGTTTGTGTCAGGGTCACAAAAGAGAGAGAAGACCAGACTTACAAATTATGGGGAAAATATTGGAATTTAGATCTCGTCCCCTTGTCCCAGATTACATTACTCTTCTATGTGCCTTCATCTTCCGGGGTGACAGACTTTCATTAAGGTTTAAGGTGAATGTTCCAGAGCTAAATAATTTACAAACATGGCTGCATCAAATCCTGCATTCAGCATTCAGGGAATGCTGCAGGTGGAAGGATTGTAGGCATTCACCTATTTCAACTGCCACTCGTCTTTAAATGAGGGGAAAAAAATCTCAGAAGGCTAAGTTAATGGTCAAATCAACTAAAAGCCAGGTCTATAATACCCAGTTAGAAGTCTTTCCATTCTGTCATTCTAGAACTCTATTGAGATTACATTTTCTAGTTTGGGACCCCCACAACTTAAGCAACATGTGACAATCCTGGAGCTCTCAGAGGAAAGCATTACTTAAAAGAATGGAACAGATGCATTTATAAGAAAATCTATAAAACTCTGTCCTTAGTTTGAAAAGAGACTGCTAAAGGAGTAACTGTCAGCTATATGAAAACCTTACTAGTAAATCAAGGCAATGCACATTAAAAATTATAAAATATAACTGTATAATTAATAATAGTTTGTCACAAATGAACAAGTTTATGGGAAACAGGTAATACATTTTAAAGGACAATTTGGCATGGTCTATTAAACACAAAATGCACCTAATTTATGCTCAGCAAAATCAATTCTGGTATCCATGTTAAAGAAAACACTGGCACATTAAGTATGAGCATGTAAAAAGATGTTTACTCCATCAATATTTGGAAAAGTAAAAATATGAAAAAAAATGTTCATCACCAGGGGAATAGGTAATAAAATGTACCTATCAGCACACTAATGTGATGGAACATACACAGCCATTGCATGAAAGAAACCAGAACTGTATATGCCAACACAAATAGGTCATGAAACATACTGTACTGAGTGGAAAAAAACAATACCTTTGATGTAAAATAAAAAATGAACAAATAAACAAAATCCCACACCCATAATATAATAACACATATGTTCTACAGATTTGTAGAAGTATTTTTAAAGGACTACATACACGCACACATATCAAACTCCTTACCTTTGGGAAGGAAAAGACAGAACTGCAAGTAGGATTTATAGTCAAGTGATATTTTAGTTTTTATTTGTAATGTCCTATTACTTGTAAAACTAAAAATTGAAAAAGCAATCATCCAGGTAACAATGTAGATTATTTTAAAATTTAAATGCAAGAATATCATGTAGATGTCAATGCTATTTTAATGTTCTAATTTTTAAAAGGAAGGTTTTCTTTATTCATGTATTACAACTAAGATACAAAAGTAAGGAGGCAGTGGCAGGCAACTATTAACCCAAGACCATAATTTTTAAGGTTTTTCCCTAGTATAAGAAAAATCATCTCAACAACAGAATAGAGTTCCTAAGATTCTTTCAAAGGTAGTAATTTTCAAAATGTCAAAGGATAAATCACAAGGAATGATAAATAAGACAAATTCCTAGGTTTACTATGTTTTAGTTTCTCTATTACAAAATGAAAAGGGTTAGATAAGGTAATTGCTAAGATCCATCTAGCTCTACATGTTGATACCTACTTCAACAGATTTAAGCAGAATAAAACTTGAATTAATATCTTTATTATGTTTACTGAGTCATCAGCCTTCCAAAACAAATGTATTTTTTTCTTACCTAAAAAGCATAAAAACTGTAGCAGGCATCAAGAATATTTCATTACAAGCAATGAATTTCAGAATATTTTGTTGATTAGCACTTAATTTGTCCAAGACAGATCTCAGCAGAGGTAAACTGTTTGAACCCCTTGCCTAAAACAAAAGAAAACAAACATTAGAAATAATGAAACATTCTTGATTACTCAATTATTATCTTTCTTTAGATAAACAGCATACCCAAGAGGCAATACAACCAAAAGCCAATTATTTGGAAATGATGGTATAAAAGTTTACAAACTATTTAAGGACAAAATGTTAGTGTATTTTCCCTCTTTATTTTGTGTATTTAAAAACTTAACAAAAAAATAACTT